ATTAATGTTGACTTTCTCATCATACATTCATCTAAAAATACAGTTAAAAAAACTTATAAAGGAGGATTGTAGATTGGTTAATTTAAGGTGTTTAATAGTGGCTTACTTAATTCACTGCTGGGGATATCTGCTGGAGAAGGGAAAAAATACCTGGAAAAAATTCAAGCCATTAGATTTGGTAAAGAAACAAACTGAAACAAAAGAAAAAGTGGTTTCAAAGGAAATACAAGGAAATTTGAAATAAGATATAATTTGTTACACTCAGCTCCAAACTTCACAGAAAATCTCAATTATACCCCAATTCAGTACACCAGACTTAACATTATAAATGCCCATTTCCATAAATAAAAACTACAAAAAGAAACCATGAGTGTGAGTCCTTTAACTGTGTTACATTTAGGAATATGATCATTCTTAAAGACATCTGTTTTCCATTGCTTGAAAGAAAATGGATGTTTCTCAGTACTCTAAAATTCAAGTTATTCAATTAGCATTCTGTCTTCTTTGTGAGTCTAAAGCAGTTAAACAAATTAAAAGTCATTCAGATCAAGCCTACTTTTAATGGAGAAGAAATCAGTACAATTAAAATTAAATTGTATTACTGTTGAGTTCATGAACAATTTGAACTATGCAACAACACATTTACCAGTGCGTTCTTTTAGGGAATCTCAATAAGGGGAGGGGAAGGGTATTGGGGATATGTTGACCAAAGAACACAAATTTTCAGTTTCATGAGAGAACTAATTTCAAAAGTTCTATTGTACATTGCAATGACTATAGTTAATAACAATATATTACATACTTGAAATTGCTTTAAAAAAGTAGATTTTTAAACTGTTCTTACCACAAAAAGATAAGTATACGAGGAAATGCATATGCTAAGTAGCTTGATTTAGCAATTTCATAATATATACATATATCAAAGTATCATTCTTACACCATAAATACACACAATACTTAAATAAATATACACAATAATTGTAAGAAAGAATGATTATTTGAAATTATTTGGAAAGACCATATCCAAATAGTCTGAGGAGGTCAGAGAAAGCAGCTCTTTCATATCATAATGATGATAAGTTGTTCCCTAAGCTTTACTACAAATTTCCAGCATCTCTAAAACTGAATTGCGGAAGTAAAGAAAAGGTTCAATTTGGACTAAATTTTCAAAAAGTATAAATTCATGAAGTTTTATGTTGAGACATTTAGCCATGTAAAACACAATTTGCTGAGTGACCTTTAAAAATTCATGTATTTTTAAAAAAACTTTTATTTGGATTTATTTTTTAAACATTTTATATCTTCATAGTTTGTTATTATTTAGCAATGTACTGACATTCTAATTTCATCCTAGTAAAGTAACCACACATGAGGGTAACTTCAGAATAAAAAATGGTGCTCCCTGAAAAACAGTGCTAAAATTCAAATGGAAACACAAAAAATCCAGAATAGCCAAAGCAATTGTAAACAAAAAGCATATAGCTGGAACCATCACAATACCTAGCCTCAAAACATACTACAGAGTGATAGTCACCAGAAGAGCATGACACCAGCATAAAAGCCAATGGATGAGAGGAACAGAAGAGAGATCACAAAAATAAATTCACACATCTACAGCAAAGTAATTCTCTACAGGTCCACAAAAACACCCATTGGTAAAAGGACAGCCTCTTAAATAAAAGGTGCTGGGAAAACCAGGTAGTCATATGCATAAGAATGAAATTTAGCCCCTATCTCCGACCTTTTACAAAAAATCAACTCAGAATGGATCAAACATCTATCTAAGATCTGAAACTATGAAACTGATAGAAGAAAACATAGGGAAATACTTCATGACATCAGTATAGACAACAGTGGTTTTTTAGATATTATCCCCCCAAAACCACAAACAAGAAAAGCAAAATAGACAAAAGGAATTATACCAACTGAGCAGTTTTTGCATGGCAAAGGAAACAATCCACAAAGCTTAGACACAGCCTATAGAAAGGGAGAAAACATTTGCAAACTATTCATCTGAGAAGGAATTAATATCTAGAATATACAAGGAATTCAAAAAATTCAACAACAAAGAAACCCAACTTACAAATACACAAATGATCTAATTAGATAACTAAAAGAGTAAATATAAATGGCCAATATGTATAAGAAAAAATACTCAACATTCCTAGCCATCAAGAAATGCAGATCAAAACCATGATGTGATAATATCCCACCCTAGTCAGAAAGGTGATGATCAATAAGCAAAAAATAGAAAATGCTGGAAAGGATGTGGAGGAAAAGGAACTCTTATACACAGTTGCTGGGAACGTAATTTAGAATAGCCATTGTGAAGATTCCTGCAAAACCTGGAAATATATCAGTTAACCATTTATGGGTATATATCCAAAGAAAATGAATTAGCATATCAATGAGATATTTAAATTCCCATTTTTTTATTGCAGCAATATTCATAACAACTAAGATATGGACTCAACCTAGTTGTCCATCAACAGAGGAATAGGGAAAATATAATATAAAATATTATACATACATTTTATATATAATATGTTATATTTTTCTCTATATATATGCCTATATATATATATATATATAAAACAGAATATTATTCAGCCATGGAAAGAATGAAATCCTATCATTTCTGTCAAATGGACTGAACAGGAGAATATTATGTTAAGTGAAATAAGCCAGGCGCAGAAAGAAAAATACCACACATTTTCTCTCATACATGAAAGCTAAAATCATTGATCTCAAAGTAGAAGAGAACAAAACAGTGATCACTAGAGGGTGGGAAGAGGCAGAGAATAGAAGAGGGTTGATTAACAGTTACCAAAATATAGATAGAAAGAATAAGTTCTAGCATTCTATAGCACAGAAAGATAACTGCATAGTTCACAGTAACTTATCATATATTTTATAAAGAACTAGAAGAGGGGTTCAAAGTCTCTAAACATAAAGAAATGAAAAGGACATGGAAATGCTAATTACCTTAATTTGATCAGTACACATTGTGTACATGTATTGAAACTGTGCATCCATAAATATGTACAATTATGTGTTAATTAGAATTGAAAAAGTTAAAAATAAGTGTTGAAAATCATTCTTTTTACCAAATTTTAGAGACTATTTACCTGGCCACGGATGCATCGCACAACATCCCCTTCACAGCACCCATCATACATGGCAGAAACATCTTCTAAGAGGGAAGTAAGTTCCTTGAATTCAATTTGGGGGAATTTTTTACTGAACACGGCAATGTTTCTGGAGAGAGAATTGATAAACCACTAAAATAATTTGAACATCAAGTAAAACAAGAGGGGGGTTTTTGCTAACAAAATATAAATAGCTCTAAAACCATTGATTCCATTGATTTTGCACAGATGTCTTATCAAATAGATAGGTGATATATTGCACAGGCTGTGTGACCACTTTGAAAGTCCTGGGCTGATGTTTTGCCCCTCCCCCCAACTCCCAGTCCTGATGGAAGGAGCAAAAAAATGACCTGAGAAAGTTGCTTTCTTCCATAATTATAATGGCAAAACACACTGTGTAAGGGCAACTGCTTCCTGTTGTGAGCCTATGGCAGGCATAGATGATCCACCAAAGACTAACCAAAATATATCTCAGCAGTAGCCCCCTTTCTCTTTGGGGCTTCCCCCCCCCAAAAGTCTTCTCCCATCCTATCCTAATGACCTGGTTTTGAGTGATCCATGTGGACTCACCCACCTGAAAACCCATAGGGAACTGGGAAGAATACTAATAAAGACATCCTCTGTTTAACAAAAATAGAAGCAGACAAGAAAATACAAGTGGAGGCAAGATATATAGTGAAAAACTCACATAGAGTTTAAGACTTTGAGTCCAAATTTCAAATAAGCTCCACAGACAGTTTTTTGATAAGAAGACAATGCTTTCAAATATTGTGTGATGGGGGCTGCCTGAAAGAGAAAGAAAAGTCTGTTGAAACAAGGGCAAAATCTCCTTATTCTCTTAGATTTTAACTACATGTCAACCAAACTATTACAGAGTTTTATCAGAGACAGAGAATCCATGGGATTTTTATTTTAGTAAATTTACATATTGAAAGAAATGTGTGTTTGTAGCACAGTGTGGAGATGTGGCAGTAACTTTGATGACTAAATTGCACTTTGTAGGAAGCTACATGATGGAGCAGCATGCTATGGGCTTGGCCATATCTACTGGGATGATTCCATTTTGTAGTCAGTGTCAAAAGAGAGCTTGTCAAAGACAGAAGATAAAAATGTTGTCTTTAACCACAGATATTCATTTACTAGGGTTTTCTTCCAATTTGAAAGGAGAACAGCCAGAAAAGAGACCCTGATAATTTTTGATGGTCTTGTAAGGCTCTCAGGTAAAGGGATATTTATATCACCAGCTAGTGACTAATGGGCTGAAAATCAGTGAATGTGGTATGATAGTTGCATATATCGTATCAAATCATTTGCTATAATTTAAAGTGAGAGTCTGGAGCTGTGGTATTGGGTTATTCCTTCTCCTTTTAAATGAAGCAAAAGAAATACACACCTTTGTTCGAAAGCAGTTGGCTTTCTGTTCCTCTTCACAGCATATTTTTGCCACCTCCTCAAAACGTGCAGCAACAATTAGAAGTGCAGGGGCAAAGACAAAGGGGTTCCTTCTAGCAACTTCATACATATAGCTATAAAAATATTAAATACTTTTAAAGGAGAAAGAGGGAAGAAGCAGGAAAAGAATGATAGAAACAAGAAAAAAAAGGAAAGGAAAAAAGGGAAAGAACAGGACAAGAAGAGCAAGATGTGAAAATGAAGATAAAAGGAAGAGAGGTTTCCCATTATGGAAAAGTTCAAAATGAGGCAGCTTTATCCATTCAGAATCCTTTACAGTCCTTCGAGTTGGCATTGCTAACTCAAAACTAAGGGTGATGATTGCAGTTTTAATCCTGAACACTGCAGGGTAGACAGATCTCTCTTCCATATTCACAGATGACTATCCATATACACCTCACCAGAGATGCAAGAATCATGTTTACTTATGTTCAAATAAACCTGTTACAGGTTTCGAAACACACCACTTTTCCCAAAAAACTCTCAGCTTCTGTAACTATTGCACTATTGAAAACAGATTTTTTGCTAAACATCCAATAATTTAATGCCTCCCCAAGAGAAAAGCTATGACTTCTCCTTGGGAAGAAAATATTATTTCCTCCATTATGTTTCTTATCACGTTAATACTGGGCACACACTCCTGTCTTAGAAGATACATGTCAATAATGCAGGGGTCTTAAAAGCAGGGTCCATATCTTATTCATATCTACATCCTCAACACTGAGCACAGAACCTAACACAGTGCATGTTGAATGAGTTAATGAACCACTCAGCTAATCAATGAACCCAGCCATATTCCTCTCAAATTTGTATTCAATTTAGCCTAAGAATAATACCTCAATTAAATCATTTTTGTACTAAAATTAAACTTACTGATTTAGAAAAGATTCTCTGTTATTTTTATAAGCCTGGCATTTCTCCTCAGGATCCAGAGTAGGGAAAGGAGGTAGAAATTCTACATTAGCTTTCTTGTTGTATAAGAAACAGAGTCTTCTTTCAAAGTCAACTTTACTGCAGCAGTGTGAAAAATTGTGCTTCTGGGGTACTCCCTCCAGAGCACATATCATTTCCTGTAGAACATTATTCTGGACAACAGAGGGGGGGAAAGGACAATTTTTAGTCATGGTAAAACTATTCGGGTTTCTGAGAAGATGCAATGGACACAATGAGATCCATGTTACCTTTGGGAAAGAGATTGCAGTTTTTACACTATTTCCAACAGAACATCTTTATACACACCCATGACCACCTTCTCAACCTTCTCACACTTTGGGAAACTTTCTGTATCCTAACACAAGGTCCCTTGACCTGCTACTATTTCTTTAGTACTCAAATTTTCTTTCTTTTATGGCTTTTCTCCACATCTCCCAAGGTAACAAGGTCAACATGGGTTTGGCAATGGTGTTTAGTAGATTTTAGAGATGCAAGTGATGTCTCTATTAGGAGGATGCCCAGAAAAGAGACATAAGATAATAGAGTACTTATTGAGAGAAGCAGTCAAGAAGGGTGCCACTTTCACATGCATTTTCAAGATATTAACAGCCTCCTCCATATATACATATAGCATATGTGGCATGCTGTGTACATAGTCATATGCATGCATATTGAAAGTATGTAACCATGTCTTCCTGGGCATCATAATACAGAATTGCACTTGTACTTTATACTACATAGTAAAATTAGGAAAAATAAAATTGATGTGCATAGGGCATCTTTCTTAAACCTTATTATATAACATTTGAAAGCAATTTACTTACAGCTATTTCTGAACACTCTGGAAGTGTCTGATTGGCCAAGCATCTATCCTTATAAGCCTTCATGTCTTTCACCAGCATTTCCATTTCATCAATCGTTGCTTCCTGAACATACTGAGCAAACGCAATGATGGTTCTGTAACGGTCCACATGAGTCCATAATCATCATCTGCAGAACTTCCAATTACATCTAACAGAAACTCCAGGACACTCACTTGCTGAGTAGCCCAGGAAATTATCTCAATATGAAGTCTGTGAATTGTACAGCCTCTCGACAATTTAATCATTGCATTGGAATTTTATAACAAATGTATTTATTTTATATGGTTTCTATTTAATTAAATTATCTTACAGAAATGTTAACATTCTTAGACTATATCAGATAAAATTACAATAAACATCATTATCAAAAGGAGTCTAGCACAACTCACAAGGATCCAGTGTTCTCTTCTATAAATTTCTGGATATTACTTGAGTCATCTGAAAAGCGAGGACATTTAAGTTATTATATATGCTGCTATTTTAACATTTTACCAATAATTAACTATGCATGGCATTTAAATGTCCAAAGTGTAAAATAAAACACTTATGCTATGAAATAATTTGTACATTTAATACAGAAGAAAGACATCATGAGAACATGCTGAGATATATGAGATCTTCATCACAGTTGATTATGCTGAATTGAAAAGATTTGAATTAATCTCAACTGACCAAATTTTAGATTTGCCTTTGATGGCTTCCCTGAAATAAATATCAAATACAAGCATCATTTCTATGCCAACTGGTTATCATTTATGGCTAGAAAAGCCACATGATAATTGACTGATAGGTTAACTGATAAGTGATATAGTTCCAGACAGGGCCTAACAAAAGATGCCACAGTGTGCTGATGGTCAGCGTAGTTTATAGTGCTAATCTCACACAGATATTCAAGTGATCTCCAGGCTCACTTAAAATCAGATATTCTCTCCTAGTGAGCAGACACTGATCAGAGAACATTGTCATTTGTTTACAAAGTATCATGCTTGAGATAATCAACAATAACCAAGAAAGACATCTCTCCTGGATCTTGGGTTTCTGAGCAGTGTCATAGTGGAAGTGGCTTGTGCACACACATAATCAAACTTAGAATGTGATTAAGTATTTGTCAGGAATGCTTTGCGTTATTGGGTGATGAACCAGAAAAAAGATCATAGGAGCAGTTGAGTCTAAAAAATGTGAAAAGTTCAGCTGCTAGAAAAATAAGGAACCCTTTCTTTCTGTGTGGAAAGAATGATGTAAAAGCATAAACATGAGAAATCTTGAGATATATTTGATATATTTTGATGAGCATGTGGGTCATAAAGGGGAATCACAAGACCTATTTAGGATAGTATGGGCCTAGGTTCAGATGATGGGGATCTTGTGTATAAAGCTGATGATTTTGGGCCTCAGTTGGAAATCATGGGAAACCATTGAAAGTGCTTATTGTGGGATAGTACAATGGCCATGTGCATACACTAAGAAATACTAGTCAGGTACTGGTATATCTTGCATGCTGGGTCTTCCCACAGTACCTAACAAATAGAAAGTGATAAGAATTATTTATCAAATAGATAGAAGAATAAACAAATAACAAAAAGTAAGAAAGTTATTAGGGGACTTTTCCTGTTGAAAATTCAGCAGGACCTTACTTTTGGTAGGAGTAATGGAAATGAAAGGGAAAACATAAATGCAAAAGGCATTAAACAGAAAAATTAACAAGATTTTGAAACAGGTTGCCACAAGGGGAAAGAAAGGAGAAGAAGACATCAAGAATGATCATTCTCTAATTGAAGCATGAAATGAAACAATGAAACCTGTTGAATTTGTTCCAAGGGGCAGGATTGAGGAGGGGGGAGCAATAGAGGAGATGGGTTTGGCGGGGGTACATTATACCCATGTATGGAATCATCACAATAAACTCCTTTGTACAAATAAAAAAATTAACATTCCCATCAATCCCTTGACTGGTCTCACTAGAAGGCACATTGGACCACACCTTCAGGGCCATTGTGCCATATAGGTCGCTTTGTGCAAGTTACAAAAAGGAACAATTTTTAGACCAGAAGAGTTACAAAAAGACTCTTCTCTGGACAGGTGAAGTTCAAAGTTTTCCCCCTTTGGATATAAGAAATGTAAAAGTCACCCCTTCTTTCAATCTTATACTACTTCATGCAATCTTGAGGGAAAAGTACAAAATGAACAGTTGAAGGAGGAACAGAATCCAGATCACCCTGACAGTTTTTACCATCTAGTTGGGAGATATGCTGGACAACCAAAGAGTCAAAAAAAAAAACTCTACTGTCCATTGTTGCACCATTACCATAAATTATATACATTTCAAAAAGTAGTAATATTTTGAAGTCTGAGTCGTATCTCCCAACAACACTTTCTATCATACCATAGGTTGCGCACCACTTTCTGAGCATGAAAACTATCTCTGTCTATAATTGGTTAATATGACCACAAAATATATAAATTCCGGAGAGAGGTAGTTTAAGGTAACAGATCAGTATCTATAACCCAGGAAGAGGGAGAGAAAAAAAAGGTGAAGAATTGAATTGGAAAAAATAAGGCTAAAGAAGAGTAATTACCCAAATTTAGTAATTCCTTACTGATATACAAGTAAATTCCTTACCTACATCCTGAGGTTTTGTGGATAGAGTTAGGGATTCTGTCAAAAAGAATAAGAAAAAAATAAAACCTGTAAGTTTTAACTGCTTCATTTTTTTTAAGAATTCACATTCACAAAATACTATAACTAAGGAAAAGCAACTCTTTATATTATTCTTTGACACAATCAGTTAAAAAGTAACCTGTTTTACCTATTTCTGAAATACCAAGTATTTCAGTTTTACCTGACACTCGGCAGAATTTTTTGCTAATTATTAACTGTGAAAAAATCTGTTGAGTTAGAAAAGAGGTCCACAGGCTAAGTATGCACAATACCTAATTAAATAGACAACTAAAAGAAAATCTTGAAATACTGCAAATGTTAATAGAAAAGGGACTAGAATAGATAATTCACCAAAGAGGAACTATAACTAGAAAAACATTAAGTTCATTGATAACAAAAAAACAAAAAAATAAATGTTCTGTATCTGCTAGGATCTGAATAAGTAAAACATTGAAAATATATAATTCTAGAAATATATAGCAAAGCAAGTACTCATACAATCAAAGTCCTCGAAAACAAGTTTAAAAAATAAAGATTTATAATCTTAAAACTATTCTCAGCATTTGAACCAATCACTCAAATTCTGTGACTATACACTAAGAATATGACTTTACATATGGAAAAGTTTTTCAGTACATGATGTTATCTGTGAACTTGTCGTCTGTGGCCTTTATTGTGTTTTAGTACCTTCTATACCTAATTTGCTGAGAGTTTTGGTCATGAATTCATGTTGATTTTTGTAAAAACACTTTCTCTCTTTATCAAGATGGCCATATTTTTTTCCCATTATTCTATAATGTAGTATGTATCACATTTATTGACTTGTTCATGCTGAAACACTCTTTCATGCCATGGGTAAATCCTACTTGATCATAGTGAATGATCCTTTTCATGAGCTACTGAATTCAATTTACTGAGAAATTCTGCTGAGAATGTTTTCATCTTTAGTCATCAGGGATAATTAGAGTATAATTTTTTATGATATCCCTGTCTTGCTTGGGTGTCAGATTAATGCTGGCCTCATAAAACTAGTTTGGAAATATTTTCTGTGCTTCAATTTTTTTGGAAGAGTTTCAGGATTGGTATTAGTTCTTTAAATTTTGGTAGAATTAGGCTCTGAAGCCCTCCAACAGAATATGTACTCTGTTGAATGGAATATTCTGTATATGGCTGTTAGGTTCATTTGGTCTAAAGTGTAATTATAGTCCAAAATCTTCTCACTTATTTTCTGTCTGGATAGTCTGTTGTTGAAAGTGGGAAACTGAAGTCCCCTTGTATTGTTGTATTGCAGTCTATCTCTCCCTTCAGATCTATTAATTTTGATACATTTATGCACTCTAAATTAGGATATATATATATATATTTATAATTATATCTCTTCCTTTTGAGTCATCCCTTTATCATAATCTAATGACTTTCTTTGTCTCTTTTTACAGTTTTTGACTTATATTTTGTCTGATATAAATATAGTTACCTTTTTCTTTTTTGGTTTTCATCTGCAAAAATATAATTTTTCAACCTTTCACTTTCAGTCTATATATGAAGTAAGTCTCGGGTAAACAGCAGACAGCTGGACTTTAATCCATGTACCTTCAGGGAAATTATTGAAAAGTAAGGACTTAACTATTGCAATTTCATTATTTCCTGGTTGCCTTATGGGTACTTTGTTTCTTTTTTCCTCTCTTGCTATCTTCCTTTCTGGTTTCATGGTTGTCTGAAGTTGTAGAGTTTGAATCTTTTCTTTTTACCTTTTATGTATGTTACTTTGTGATCACCATGAGGCTTACACAAAACATATGACTGTATACTTAAATTTACCAGTGAGTTATATACTTCACTGTATTTCCATGTTACTAAATAGCGTTCTTTTCATTCAGCTTGAAGAACTTCCTTTAGCATTTCTTGAAAGGCAAATCAGGTGGTGATGAACTTTCTCAGCTTTTGTGTGAGAAAGTATTTCTTCCTCATTTCTGAAGAACAGCTTTTCTGAATAAAATCCTCTTGGTTGACAGTTTTTTCTGTTAACACTTTGTCACTATTACTCCATTATGTCCCAGCCTGTAAAGTTTCTGCTCTGAACTCCATTGATGGTTTATTAAGTCTCCCTTGTATTGTGTCATGTTTGTTTTCTCTTGATTTTTTCAGATTATTTACCTTTGTTTTGATAGTTTGATAACAATATGAATTCGGTTAGGGACCTTAGAGCCTCTTGTAACTGGATGTTGTCATCTTTCTCCACATTGGAAAAATTTTTAGCCATTCCTTCCCCCACATCTCTGAAACTGGGGATTGAGCCTCACACATGCTAGGAAAGCACTTTGCCACTTCTATGTTCCCAGCCCTTTTAGTTTTTTGGTTTTGCTTTTTGTCTTTTGTTTTTTGTGGGGTTTTTTTGTTTTGTTTTATTTTGTTTTGAGATAGAAACTTGCCAACAATGTACTGGTGGTCTTGAACTCATGATCCTCCTGCCTCTGCCTCCCAAATAGCTGAAATTACAGGCATATATCACCATGTCCAACTCACTACTTGCTTAATATGCTTCAAGAGACCTTTATTTCTCTCTCTTATCCTTCTTAAAATTCTATTGTGAAAATATTAGTAGTCTTGTTGACATTCAATAATTCCAATAGGCTTTCTTTATTGTTCCATTTCTTTTTCAATTATTTGACATAGGGTCTTACTACGTAGCCCAAACAGACCTGAAACTCCATATCACACTGTGTTAACCTCCTGAGAGATGCGGTTTGGGGCATGTATCAACATGCCCAGAATTCCCCTAGGCTTTCAAAGTCCTGTTTTTGAGTTCATTGATTCTTCTTCTCCTTGGTCAAGTCTGCTATTTCTACTGAATTTTTCAATGCTGTTATACTATTAATCGCTAAGACTTCTTCTCCTCTTCCTCCTTCTCCTCCTATCCTTAATCAGATTTTTCTTTTCCTCACACAGGGTCACCAACATTCGTCTCAAACTCATGATCCTCCTGCCTCTGCCTCTTGAATGCTGGGATCATAGACATGTACTACCATACTCAGCTTAAGTCAAATTTCTTGATTTTTTCATGTATTGTTTTCCAAACCTTACTTAACTTTCTTCCATTTTTCTTGTAGTTCATTGAATCTTTTAAACATGATTTTTCTGAATTCTTTGTCAGTCAATTCATAAATCTCCATTTATTTAAGCTCTACCATTGGAGCTATATTAATTTCTCTTGATGATGATCTGATTCCCTGATTCTTCATCATCCTTGTTTCCTTTCATTGTTATCTAAGCATTTGAGGAAGCAGCTGTCTCTTCCAGACTTTACACATGTTCTTTGATAGGGCTAGACTTCTGATTAGTCTAGCCTGGGATTCTGGACAGGCCAGCTGGTAATTACCACAGGTAGCAGAGCTTGCAGTAGGGTCCTTTGTTAGGCTGAGCCACTGCCTTTGCTCTGAGAGAAGACTGGGGATGCTGGCTGAGCTCTACTGGTTGGTGAGAACACTGGCAAGCCTCTAAAATTAGGCAGAGCTTCTGGCTAGGGACAGCAATTGCCTCTAATCAGTCAGGGTTGCAAGCTCTACTCCCCAGTCATGTGGTGTTGCTGTTTGGATGCTACACTTGGGTAGAGCTGCAGTTTGAGCTCCAAAGTTTGGTAAAGTTTTTGCTTGGGGCATTCAGGAACAGAAAGTTCAATACAGGAACAGAAATTACAATAGAGTCTTGCCTCCCTGCATGGGAAAGTCTTGGGGTGTGCTCTGAGGCTGGGGTGAGTTGGATTTTGGTCTCCCAAAATTGGGCAAGGTCAACCTCAGTGCTCTACAGAAATGCACAGAGCCTTGAATTAGGTTCTGAGGTTGAGTGTGGTAGATGACTATCTATGGACTCAAACCAGGTAAACTTCTCACTCTACTTCTGGAATCAATAAGTTCAGCTTTACAGGTAGGCTATGCTATTGACTGGTGTCTCTCCATGATCTGATGCTGGTCCCTGTGAGACCTGACCCATTTCTTTGTTTCTACCTGACTCCAGTGTTCCTCATGAGGCAAGATCATGTGGGTCTCCTGAGAAATGTCTCAGAGCTAAGTAAGCTGAATGTTCATCTCAAGCTCTTTTCCTACTGTCATATATGTAGACTCAGAAGAATCCCTTTGTGTTGGAAGTGAAACTTTTCTCTTATTCTTATAATGTTAGGTTTCTGTCATTGAATTTGAATTTTTGAGTTCTGTGATCCAGGCAGCATCTCATCTCTCTCTCTCTCTCTCTCTCTCTCTCTCTCTCTCTCTCTCTCTCTCTCTCTCTCTCTCTCTTTTTCTGTTAGGACTAGAGTTTGAACTAAGGGTCTTATGCTTTGGAGCCAAATGCTCTAACACTTGAGCCACGCATCTTCCAGCTTTTTCCTACAGTGATTTTTCTAAGGGATCTTGCTTTACGTCCAACCTAGATTGGGATTCTCCTATTTATACTTCCTATGAAGCTGGGATGACCAGCATGTGCCACCATGTCCAGTTTTTTATTGCTTGAGAGGAGGTCTTGCAAACTTTTTGTCAGTCTGGGGTCAAACCATGATCCTCCTGATCGCCACCTCCCAAATGGCTAGGATTACAGATATGAGCCACCATGCCAAGCTAGTCTCATTCTTAAGTTTTGAGATTTTTATAAGAGTGTCCATGTCTGTAGACAGTTTCTATTTGGACTTTCTCATGAGGCATGTGGGGGATATGTGGATAGTAAAGTCTGGCACCTTCTGTCTTGAAATCATGCGCTGTTACTCCTCTTTCTTAATTTTTCCTCCCATTATATTGCTATAGCTCTTTATGTAAATCCTAAACTCTTCCAAAATTATTTTTGTTCATGGGCAGATGTTGGTCTTTGTAGAGAAAAGAAAGACTTAATTTATTTCTCTGCCATCATGCTGACATAACTCCTCTGCAAATAAATCTTAAACTTCAAATAGTCTTTAAGTTTTTTTTCTTATATTATTATTTTGACACTATTTTCTATACCATACAGGACAACTCAAATAACTAATTAGGTTACTTTTTAGAAATCTTAATGTTTTGTGTATAAGAAAAGAGATAAAAGTTGAATTTGGCAATTTTTTCCATGAACTTTATGAAAGTTTTATTGAAGTGTAATTGCTGTACAATAAGCTTCATATATTTAAAGTGCATAATTTTATAACTTTGGACTTGAAATCATCACTATAATTATGATAGTGAACAAAGCCATCACCAAAAAATGTTTCCTCAGTACCCTTTGTAACCATTCCCTCCAACCTCTAGCAATCCTTTCCCTCATCAAGAAAATGCTGATCTGCATTCTGTCATTATAGAGAAGTTTTCATTCTCTAGACCTTTTTATATAAATGGAATCAATTAAACATGCACTCTTTTGTCTAGTTTTTCATTCATTAGAAACAGAGTCACTCACACTGCAGGATATGTCAATAGTTTGTTTTTTATTCCAGTGCATGGATATACCACAACTTGATTACACACTCACCTGTTGATGTACATTTTTATTGTTTCCAGTTTGAAGTTATTACAAATAAAGTTTCTGTGAATATTTGTGTATAAATCTTTGTATGAACATATATTTTTCCTTTTCTCTGGGGTAAATATTTAAGAGTAGAATATCTGTATAATATGAAAGGCACATGTTTAAATTTATGAGAAACTGTCTATTTTTCAAATTAGTTGAATGAGTTTATAGTTCCATGAGCAGCATATGAGTTGCAGACCTTCCAGATTCTCTGTGACAATTAGTATGCTCAGTACTTGTCATCATAGCTGCTCTAATGTATGTACAGGTATCTCATTGTGCACCTAACTAATAATTACATTCAACATGTTTCTGTGTTATTTTTCATCTGTGCTTATTTGAAACATCTTTAATGATGTGTTTATTCAAATACGTCTCTGTTTTATTGTGTCATTTGTTTGATCATTATTCAGCTTTGAAAAGTTTTTTAAAATGCATTCTGGATACTAGTGAGTTGTTTATCAGATGTTATGTTTTGTAAAGATTTTTTTTTCCCAGTCTTTACTGGGGAAAACACAGCTTTTTTTATTTTAGTGAAACCTAATTTACCACTTTCTTTTATTATGGACCAGACTTTTGGTGTTTTATCTAAGAAGGACTTACTTACCTTAAAGTCCCAAATATTTTTTATTGTTTTCTCTAGAAATGTCATAGTTTTAGGATTCATACTATGATCCATTTTAATTAATTTTTATATGATATAAAATATAGCTCTACCACTGAGCCATGTCCCCAGTTACTTCATCATTTGTAAATGTCTTTTTTAATCATTCTCAAAAACAGTTTATAGCTTTCAGTATACCCGCCATTCACATTTTTCATATTTGTCTCTAAGAGAGATATACTCCCTAAATCCATTCATTGTGTTGTGTCAACACAGTCCCTTTGGCCAGGTTTTCCTCTTTCGTGACATGGCCTTCTCTGCTGGAAATGATGAATGCCCCTTATCTTCCCAGATGCTTCTTAAATGATGGCAGCACTTTCCCAAGTCAGGAAAACCACCCACCCTTTTGGTCCCTCAGTTATTTGTTGTCAATTCTTTGTGATATTGCTATTTATTTTCTTCTTTCTCTACTGAAGCAACTGAAGAACAGTAACTAGATCCAGAACAGAGCTTGCTATCCAATGATTGCTCAGTAAACGCTGGGGAATTTAAAAAATTGAAAAAAAAAAATTCATTACATTTACCCAAAGCACCTATACCACAGTTAACACATGCTTTTAAATGTCTATGAATTTAAACCAGAGGCATGGCTAAAGTGGTAAAGTGCCTGCCTAGCAAGTGCCAAGTCCTGAGTTCAAATTTCAGTACTGAAAAAACCCCAAAAGTCTATTAATAGAGAAGTGAACAAGATTGAGGAAAATAAAAACACTAAATTTTCATGGATCCAATAAAAGCATAAGAATTTCTTTTCTCATCACCAGATAACCTATCTGAATGCTTCCGTGTGCTGGGTGCTAGTGGTTCATGCCTGTAATCCTAGCTACTTGGGAGACTGAGATACATAAGATCATGATTCAAGGCCAGACCAGGAAAATAGTTCAAGAGACACCCATTTCCAAAATAACCAGACCAAAAACTAACAGGAGGTGTGGCTGAAGTAGTAGAGAACCTGCTTTTGAAGCAAGAAGCCCTGGATTCAAACCCCAGTCCCACAAAGGAAAAAAGAAGAACTTCATATAGAAAATGTGCCCCTGGCAACACCAGTGTTTATCTTGGGAATGTTTTCACAGATAACCAAGGGATAGAGCCTTTAGTGTTCTAAATTTATTCTTGTGTGGCTTTTAATCTCCTACAATAACCACTACACAATGATTTGTTAATGAATCTGCTTCAGATAATGGCACATAAAACTATTTTTTAAAAATTTCAAGTTTTCATAAATAAGCAAATCAGGAATAAAGAAACATTTGAAAATGCTTTATTTCTATGATAGGGAAATTTCACATGAAAGTCTTCATCATTTCATTAAAATATTGTCAGTTATAATTAAACAGAAGAACTCACTCCAAACCATAGACTCATTTTGTCTTCTTCTCTTCCTCCTGCAATACAAGTAAAAATTTATATTAAGTACTAATTAGATGAATACATACAGAAGGTAATGGGTCTATTGTTTTATATCAGGAAAATGTGAGATACACAGGGAAGCCTTCTGGTGGCATTCTCTAAAGCCTCTGGAGTCAACTAAAATTTTGTTCCAGTTTCTTAAAAATAAACCCTTTTTCAAGCAACTTTCATTTTTAAGAAAATTAATGGCACTGCTTAGAATCTGATTCACTATGGATTGGTATTTGTGGAGAATCAACATTGTATTTAGCCTTGCCTGAATTTTTTTTTTGGTACCTGAAGTTATTTAAACTCCCAAAGCAGCACGAGTTTTTGAAATCAGTTTTGGACCCTGAAAATTAAGAACAAATAAAAATAGTCAGATATGGATGATTGTGTTGGTCCTACAGGCAACTTCTCACAGCCTAGGTGAATTCAACATTTTTTAGAATAACCAAGTTAAAAAATAAAGAAATTAAAGAAACACATCTCTGATGTCAGCAAGTTTAGACAGTATAAGCCAGAGAAGAAATAATCTACTCATAACAACAGTAGATTTTTTTCTGTCTCAATCACCAAATCCTTGTCTGTCCTCACTCCACTTTTCCCCTTCCCTTACAAATCACAGGTCACTAGAAACTGACAGGTTTGCAGAGAAAGCACAGCCATTATTTGCTAGTACTCGCTGCACCTCAAAGTCTTCTCAGATCAGAGGACATTAATCTTTTTGTACATATTTATCAGAAATAGTTTATGTCTATTTCATCAATGTTGCTTTATCTGATTGGTTGTCTGTGCCTAGTTCCCATTCTACCCCACCAAAATCACAGACATGTACTGACAAATGCACCCACCCGAGCACTCCTAATTATAATTTGTAGAAAAACTCATTTCTAAATTTTATCTGGCTTACAGTTCACTCATAATAAAACATCCAAACTTGAACATTATGACACTGTCAGATAAAATTGACAAAAATGCTGAATTAAAGAATATCTTTTAAAAATACAGTGAGTTATATTGAAACATATTCAGTAATACAATCTCAGGGTTTACAAAATGTAGCCAATTAGCTTAATTGTGGTAATCACTTTATAATGTGTGCATTTATTAAAGCATCATGTTGCCACATTAAATATACACAATTTTTAATTGTCAATCATACCTCGATAAAGCTAGAAAAAATAATTTTTAAAAATGTTATGTAGAATTCCCATTTTAAAAAAAGTGGCCAATTATACATCCAACTAAAATTACTAAGTAACTGGGCCAAGATAATTCCTGTTACTACTCTGCTGATATACAAAGGCATTCCCCTAATGAATTTAAAAAGCATTTCCTATTAATATTTTCCTAAAATCCTGTCTATGCAATCTACTATTAAAGTCTTTTAATCCATTTAGCTAACTTGATTAATTTTAGGCCAGAAACTGACTAAATTATAATTATTTATATATCACTTAATAGTTTTTCTCTACTAGGCAATAAGTCAAAATTACTAATTCCCTTAGTACATTTTAAAATTATAATTCTTCCTAGTATTTAGGGAGAAAAATGTTATTGTTTCTGAAGTCTCATAAAATCCTTCAATCTATTTCTAAATGAAGTTTACGTCTCTCTAACGTTATCTTGAAGCTACAGGTTTGCGTATATTTTCTTTCTTCCCTGCGGGTAATCCCCGCAGGCACCGCGAGCGCGAAGTGTGCTGTGCGTACCTCTTCTGCAAAGCAGACCTCCTGCTCCTGCCCTCGGCAGCACTTCTCCAAAAGGCCAGAGAAATCCGCAGTGACAGCCTCGTGCTCGTCCTCTGTCATTTGTGGCTTTTGCTTCACGAGGCTAATGAGAAGCCTATGATTTAACATGAAACAAAATACAAAAGAATTACCACGATACAACGGTAATTTTCTAGAACCTTTCTAGCAGAGGATTTTCAGAGTCCTGGCAGCCCTCACCCTAAACTGTCACTCCAACCAACCCAGGACCAGACTTAGCACACACAGCTTGTCGTCAGAAAGCTGCAAACATGCCAAGCATTCCTTTGGCCTGGACTCATGCAGATCATAGATGAAACACTATTTCATGATTCTGCCACACTTCTACGTAGTGAAATATGGCCTTTTTCTTACTTTCCTGGCCTGTCTTCTAAAGTATGTCTAACCCATACGCAAAGGCCCAGATTTCCAGACCCTGCCATCCATCACCTCACTTTCATGCGAGCCTTGGTAGCAGGAATTCCCTGCACTACTCATTTTTTTTTTCGGGGCTGAGACCCAGGGCCTTGTGTGCGCTATGCAAGTGTTCTGCCACTGAGCTCCATCCCCGTCACCTGCACTACTCATTTAGCAATGTTTCCATGTTGAGTTAATGTGGACAGTGCAACAGGGAATGCTGCCAGAGAAGCAGAATTCTTATTGTACTTTGAACAATAAGAACAGTCTGAGTTTTGAACTCGGACTGTGATGGATAAAAAAGAGAACAGGTTTTTCCAATGAAGGAAGCCCATTTACAAAGCAAGGGAGTATGAAAATGCATGAGTGTTTGGAAAACATGCGTGTTTTCCAAAAAAAAAAAAAATACGTGTTTTCAAAAAAAAAAATGAGTGTTTGGAAAACATTGACTTGCATTACCACTACCATTGTAGAATGGCTTCTACAGGAAATTGAAAGTACATTTCATTTTTTAACACCATACTACATGATTGAATCAGATATGACTACTCTTTTCATAGCACAGTGTAAAAACGATTTGATTATATGCTTCCTGTGCTTGAAATGGAAGTACCCAAACTCACTGCAAAGATATACTCTAATACTCCAAGATAGCGTGTTTATTTTCTCTCAGCCCCAAGTGCATTGCAACAATAGTTACAACAGAGACAATTTTTACAAACAGGAAGTAGTCTGCCCTGGCAAATTTTCCAGACCCACTTCCCAACAAAACTGTGAGAACATTGAGACAGAACTATTCTTGAAAGACAGTTTAAATGCTTTGTGGACCATAATGATCTACTAGTGAGCCCAAGAGTGTCCAAGATGGATATCTCAACTACTGTTTGTCATTGTTGATTTTCTCCATGCTAGAAAATAACAATTTCTTACTCTTGCTTCATTGTTTGCAGTGCTCTACCCTGAGCTTGGCACAGATCCTTATGGAAGATGAATTTGTCATCAGAGAATGGTGGAGGGATGTAAGTTTCATCCACTGCCAAACGGGAGAAGCATGGCCTCCTGTTGGCATATGAAGAATTGCAGCACTGACCGATACCAGGGTTCACAGCAGATGCTTCATGTCTGTTACATAATTGTCCAATAATAAGGTCAGCCTGGTTAGGAGAATGAGAAGGAAATAAGCAAGGAGATTGGACATAAGCCGCAAAGTTGGTTCAGGTTCCCAGAAAACTCATGCAATCATTCTTATGCCCAGAAACTTATAATTAATATTAACAGGGAAATTAGCTGATTACGTAAGAGCATGTGTTGCTATGTTGTAGATTTCAGAATTTACCCATTTGTTTGGGATAAACCTCAGCATATAGTGACAGATGTTACATATGTGATGTTGAGGACAGTCCTTCAGCTATCTGTGTCAGCTATTTGAAACATGCTTCCAACTACATACATACTTACAAAAGGGGAAAGGTCTTTTCCCTGACCCATAAGAATCAGGAGGTGGCTTGTTTTCTGTGCATACTTAGTTGAACTTTACTTCTGAGATACAGAGAATCACTTTTTGTTTTTGTTTTATTTTGTCTGGATTTGGGCTTTGGTGGTACTAGAGATTAAACCCAGGGCCTTACACTTGCTAGACAAGCACTCTATCACTTGAGCCATGCCACCAGCCAGAGAATCACTTTTTGAAGGTAAGAATAGTGCAAACCTGCTGGTGGAGTGGTTCAAATAGTAAAAGCACCTGCCTGTCAATCATGAGGCCCTAAGTTCAAATCCAGTGCTGCCAAAATATGAAAAAAAGGAATAGTGCAAACCTACCCTTTCATATCCATTCAGTCACACTTACATGTATACATACATATAGCTAATAGAGAAATAGGGTCAGTGTGTGTGTGTGTGTGTGTGTGTAAGGCTTTCCTAATGTAGACTCCAACAACTTTCTACACTTCAGAGATATTTCTTATATACGTAGTAATAACTCTTAATAAATGTTAACATGTTGTGTGTCATTGTATGTATCGGGCTGATGCTTTGGGTGTTATTCAGATTCCCTAGTTTAAGACAGCCATCCTATGACAGTGGTATACTTTTTACTTTTAAATCCTAGATGGAAAAAGCTCAAGCTCAGTGATAAAAGGTCCATTTCCAGTGAGGTGTGAGTAACAAGTGGTGAACATGGGATGGGAATAATGTGGAAAGCAGCCTCTAGAACCTACACTCCCGAATCATTCCACCATCCCGCCTCCCTGCAGCCATCCACGTGAGGAATTCGATCACTGATAAAGGCGATACCTAATCACAGGAAACTTTTTGCTCCTAACTTTTAGTGAAAAACTCCAAGACATGAAGACTAACTAGCGAATAAGTCCTATTATCAAAAAAAGGAAAAGGGGAAAATAGATGTATAATTTTGTTCACAATTCTAACTTTAAAGGAAAAAGTAATGAAAGAAAATTCACTCTGTAATCATATAAGTGACATGAGTAGTAGAGACTCAGCATTATTGACATGCTAGTTGGAAAGTCGATTTACTCTTCAGAAAATCATGCTTACCTTATTCTGTACCCTGCACTCTGTCAAGTGGAACAATTGCCCCTCATATCACTATCATAATAAAATTATACAGCAAAAGGTGAAAATCTAAGTATGGAAAAAAATGACTAATTGTAGAGGCAAAGTTTTTTCTTTTTTTTTAATATTAAAATATGAATTAAGTAGAAAATAGTGAGCTGACATTCTCTTTGTACATGAAAGTTGCTCAGATATTGTTGAATAAATTGAGCGCACTTCTACCAGCATTCTATAAGGACAGAAAGCCTGGTCTCAGGGCACCCACAGAGCGCTGATTTCTCATACCACCTCCACCTGTAACTAACTGAACTTTCCTATGTAAAGCCATTCTCCTAGATGGAACTTATGAGGCTACTTCAAGTGAAATAAAGCAGAAGTGAGATGGGACTACAGAAAACAGACACTCACCGCTCCCTCACCACAGGACACCCGTTTGTCCTCACTGAGTGGGCAACACGTGGATGCTGTGCTCACCATTTTCCTAGTGAGGTCTATCAGCTCAGCTGAGGTCAGCTGAGGGGCTTTCTTTGTGTAAGCAATGAGGAACCTGAAAGAAGCATTTTTCACAAGGTCCTGCCTAGTTAGTTACTCATCATTTAGGACTCTTTTTTTCCTACCCAAAGACCCTCTTTGCTGGGTACCAGTGGCTCACACCTATAATCCTGCCTACTTGGGAGGCTGAGATTGGGAGGATCACAGTTGGAGGGCAGCCCAGCAAAAAGCTCCCCACAGCACCCCACCTGCAAAGTAACCAGATGGCTGGGTGTGTGACTCAAGGGGTAGAGTGCCTGCTTTGCAAGCATGAAGCCCTGAGCGCAAACTCCAGTGCAACCAAAAAAAAACAAAAAACAAAAAAAGTGCTCTCCAGTGTCAGAAAACATGAGGTATTTCGACCAGTTTTTGAGATGTGTCTATTCTGACCATCATTCTCTGTGCTCCCATCTTCCTAATATGTAACAATGGGAAGGTTGACTTCTCCTCCCAACCCCAGAGCTTCATTGATTTTAACTGTGGTCTTTTGGTGTTTTAACTGTGACAGACTGTGGCAGAATGGATACCTTCACTGCAAACATTTTCAGGGTTTGGGAAGCCTAAAGCCAGTTCCACAGATCAGACTTTCCAGGCCATTCTTGCTGCTTCCTAAAAGGTGGAATGGGGAAGGCTACCTTCTCTTGGGGGAAATTAGGTAGTCAGAGTTATACTGGCTTCCATCCAAAATAGGACATGGGTACTTTAGAGTACCCAAGAGCCACTAATTCAGATTTGTATTTCCTTCACATGTATGGAATTTTAAATCACTGAAAATACTGTTTACAAAAACATACTCATTTTGTAAGTAATAGTCTCCTAATTTCTGGAAGAGGCCACAGCTTTGCTTTGCAAGTGCTTGAGAATCTTGGATATATTTCTGTAATTCTTCTTCCTGTAATTACAAGCATTATTACATACATTTTTCTTTCTTTTTATAACTTTGTATATCAAATTGGCCAGTATCTAATTCTATTATGAAACCAATCTTAGAGGTTTTTAAAATATTAATGATAGCAAAGTATAAATTTTGAGATTTAAAGCAAATAGACGGGGAGATTGTTTAAAACTTTGTGAATTACACATTACTTGAGGGCAGAACTCAGTCTTTGGATAAAGTGTTACAGTTCTTTCTTGCCTTTCTGAAACTGTGCAAAAAATAAGCATTACCATTATTCTTTGCATCAGAGAACTTTTGACTGAAATTTTCACTTCCTAAATTAGCCATTAGTTGCTGACTACTAGTTAATAACTACTTAATATCCAGATTACTCATTCATAGCTCTAACTAGCTAACAACTAGTTAACAACTGAATTTTTTCACACAAACAGTATTAATGGATCATATCAATCCAATTTTTCAGATTCTCCCTAAAATTCTAGAGTAACTTACCACATTGTCCTGGCATTCAAGAGGGTTTTCAGACTGGAAACAGTTCTCTAAGAGCTCCTCATATCTTCCAGCCATTCTTAGAATTACTGAGACAGCAAGCTTAGTATGCCTTTTTGAATATTCATGAAGAAAACTGAAATATATGGGGAAAATATCATAGATTATTTTAACTAAGACAAAATGGAATCATTTATTCTTTAATCATTCCTGAATAAAAATAGAGTTAAAAATCAAATAAGTAAATAAATCAAGATGAGCAGCACAAATGAGAAATAGGTCATCTAACTTAAGTAGTGATAAATCAATGAGAAAAAATAAAGAGATGGAAAAAAGGAAAAGAGGTGGTGACACCTTAAGTAGAGGGGCCAGTAATTTAGCATGTGGTCAAGAAAAGCTTTCCTGGGTAGCTGATCTCAGAACAGAGACCTGGGCAAAGGAAGTTCAAGTGCTCCAGGGAAGAACATTCCCAGCTGAGAAAACTTCTATAGCAAAAACTTTGCAATTGAAGGACTGCTTCTCATAAGCAATTGGTTGTAGATGTGTATTAATGTATGAAATTGAAGATAATCTTGACTTTTCTAGCTATATTCCCAGGTTATAAAAACTAGTTATGTTTACTTCTACCACTAATAAAATGTCAAGATGTGTCTTTTTAATCTGGTCTTCATTCTAGTTTGAATAATTTTATTTAGCACCAAAAACAATGTGCTATCTAATTTTAATGCAACAAAAGAGTAATATATTCAGGAACTATTAAAAAGAAAATTGAACCATATTTTATTATTGCACTAGAATCAGACTCTTAAATTTAGAAGGACCCTGGGAGATAATTAAGTATAATGTCCTAAGAGCTGTACAAATCCCTCCTCTAATATGTGTCCATGGACACATACAATAAAGGAAAATATATTAATTTGACTTCCTTCTTCCTTAAAGACAAATAGAATGAGAACATGCTTGTCAATTATAACAAGCAGTATTCTACAAATGTCTTTAAACATGGTTAGATTGTCTTAAAAATTAAAATGTGTACTCAATAAATAACAAACTGTTCCAATGAAAGACTTACCTAGCATTATTTGTTAAGTTATACCTGAGTCATGACTCAGAACATGCTAACCAAACATCTTCACATATTGGGCTGAAAAACCATAGCCATCACTCCCCATTTCAATGAAACAAAACCATTATGTGAATATACATTTAGAGAGTGTGTTACCTCGCCAAGAACATGTTTTTTTCCTCTGAAGAAAATTGGCTGAAATTTCTGTCTCCTAAAAACCTGTTTAGATTTAGAGATTGGCCTTCAGGTTTGTCATCATTTTCTGCATGAATTATGCAATGGCCAAGTTCAAGCATGGGCAATTCACAGCATTCTGAGATTTTGCTTGACAGAATATCTTGCCGAGAACATAGGTATGACATAATTTTTTCCTGTAATGAGAAAAACAAAGAAAAAATCTTACAGGTTTATTCTCTAAGGTAGGACCTCAGAAAGGAGGGAGGGAGGGAAAGAGGGATGGAGAGAGGGAGGGAGGGAAGGAGAAGGAAAAGGATTTGGAATGAGGGAAGAGGAAAGAGAAATGGAGGGAAGAAGGGAGGAGAAAAGAAAGGAAGAATAAAGAAGATAGCTTGTCTCCCATTTTAGTGTTTTTTCCTTAGTTTTGCTTTTCCTCACTCTTCTGCAATTACCTATTGGTTCAAGTCCTCTTTCCATACTTGTCATCTAAGCCCTACCTTTTATTTTAATAGGAAACCTTGAAAATAAGAGGGAAATGTTCTGCTCAAATCAAATGGCATCTTGCTATGAGTATTCAAGTTTGCTAATAGGCAACATTTGAATCTGGTGTTATAATGTGGAGAGCAAGCTTGGCTCCATCTTTAACAGAACAATCTGCAGTAACCAACTGTGCCCTCCAGGTGGCAGTCTATAGACAAAGATCTGGCTCTGCACCCTGGATGCCAGAGAGAGGCAATGCTTTCATACCTCTGTCATGGGATTGAAATTCCAGGCATTCTCAGCAGAGAAAATTAGAACCTATTATTCAGCTGTTAAAACCCAATTTACAGAGCATACTAAAATTAATTTTTCTACTTTACATGAAAAAGAGAGGTTTGAGCTCTGAAAATAAAAACACTTTTTAAATGGATATGAAAATCAATAAAATTATTATTTACAGTTCAAGAAAAGTGACCTGAAAGATCAGCAAAATAGTTCTTAATAATGTTCCTAATATGCAGATAAATTCTTCCAGGTGAGAAAGTACATGAAGCATCAAATAATCCTAATACGCAAATAAGCTCTTTCAGGTGAGAAAACAAGTGAAGAGCAAAATCTGTCTCACTCCACGGTTCTCTACCTGCACACAGGGACTCTCACTCTTAGGCATCCCCTGCAGCCTCAGATTCTAGCTGACTTCCAAGTCTACCTCAGTCAAATACCCATGGGTGTGGCTGAAATTAACATTTCATCTTCATGGTCAAACTTCAGGAAGCCATGTTCTTGTTCTGGTTCTCAAGTCACTTGAGGATCTAAGAGCAGTGACTTCAAGCCTCCTTGGGGAGGAGATTGTGTCACATAGGAGCAGAGGGGGAATAACTGGGGGGTAGACAGGCCACTTGTGCAATATCTAGGAAGTCTGGGATTAGCCCAAATTAGCCATACTGCTTCTATCACCACAGACTATAGCAAACTCTAGGAATCTGTTGCTAGGATTTTTTGGTTTTGTTGTTTAATTCTCCTAGAGCCCTTGATTCATACCTCTCTTTGGTATGGCTAGTTTTTACCTTGTGGAATAGTTTCTTGTGTTGTTTTTGTTGTATTTTTATTCATTCAACAAACTACAACAGAATGTCTTCCATGTACCAACCATTGTCCTGTAGAGATAACAGTAAACAAAATATAGTTCCTAACTCCAAAGAGATCATTTCCATCTCTCTCTTATCAAGCTACAAATTCCTTGACATCAATTAATGCCTTTATAACCTGTCCCTCCCTGTGATCAGCCAGTAGAAATTCCTCAAAATGTACTTGTCAAATGAAGAAATAAATGAATGTGAAAGCAAATGCATTTCAAAACAGCTTGCCATGCAAGACCCTATGTGGAGCCTCCAGAGAGGTTACATCTTCTTTAGAAGTAAGAAATGGATGGGTCCTGGTCTCATTTAGAAATGACAAATCAAAGTAAAACCCAAGGTCAAAATAGATGTTTTAAGTTTTACCATCAAGAAGTCTGTAACTTCATTTGATCACCTACCTAATTACCAGAACCTGTGACCAAGTCAAAAAAAAAGAAAAGGGAACAGAAATACATCTTTTAGGAACCGAGACTCCTCACCCCATCCTGGAGGCACTCCAGCACATTTCCTCTGCAGCATTCCTCATGTATGTGGACCACATCCAGGGCCAGTTTCTGGATTTCAGTAAAATTCGCTTTGGGAAACTTTTGACTCAGCTTGGTGACTGTTCTGGAGGAGGGGAGAAGGATTTAAAATTCAATCTTGGTTATCTACCTAAAAGAAATAGCACTTATAAAGTATCAGTATGGTAAAGCTCCAAAGAGAAAGAACTGAAATGTGTTGTTGTTAAAGGGGGGGGCGGGTATTCCTTAAGTCTTGTCAATTTCTACTTGATTTTGCAAGGTAGTAACTCTGTAAATTGTGAACTGGTCCCCAAAATGGTTTAGAAGTAATTTCTCTTTCGTAAGACCTTTCTTGGGAATCAGGATGAATTCTACCTTTGTCCTTCATTCTTGATGTTGAGCATTGTGGAATCATTGTATTGTATGGATGGAAACATTTTTTAAAAGGTATAGAATTAAGAAAATTCCATGAGAATGATACTTGTTTTTCACTAGAGAGAGAAAAAAAATCTTATGAGAATTCAGGGAGGGGTGCAGATGTGAAAAATCAGTGAAATGGGAGAAGAAAATGCAGCAGACTTAACATTGCAGACAAGTTATCAGACCAAGACATACAGGGTGGCCAGAAAGGAGGTGAAAAATAAAAATTCTGGTTCTTTCTGCATATTTCAGTAATTTTCTTTTTGGTGGTACTGGGATTTGAACTCAGACCCTCATGCTTGCTAGGCAGGTGCTCTACCACTCAAGCCACTCCACCTGCCCATGTTTCATTAAATTTTAAGAGATATCTGTGTCAAGACACTATTCCTTTGAGCAAATGAAGGAGGATTTTCTTTATAAATGAAGAAGGATTTTCTTTATACATGCAGAACATGTAATTCTAATTTCTTATAGAAAAGTTGAAAAGTCATTTTAATCACATTTCCATTTCCATTTTATTCCTAAGGTATACTTAAATAAAGTAATTCATGAATTAATCTTTAAATTTCCAGTAGAATTAGAAGGAAGTTAGAGAATAAATATGACCTCTTTTAAGAGAAATTTTAGACAGACTTTGGAACTAGCTTTATCATTAAAACTTTCATATAGGTCTTCAGTCTGCACAGTACTTTTTAATATGTCATTTAACAAACAAATAAACTGAACTGCATGTATCTATTACAATTTGATTAGGAGCTCAGATATCTTGTTGCACTAGAAATATTTCATCCTGAAAGAGTTAGAGTTAGCGTAAACCAGTTATAGAATTTAGAATTTTCTTTCCAACTGACAGTAGATTCTAAATTACTGTCTCAGGGGAATATTTTACTAGGAAGCAACAATTGACATAATGGACCTCACAGCAGATTAGGAAGCACAATTAATACAAAGAATTTCTGGTTAAGCCATAAGTTTGAAATGATTCTCAGGGAAGACTGACCTACTTTGTAGGGGACCTAAGAAATACAAGGTCTAATAAGGAGGTATGATTTGATTGTAGGCATGAACTTAGTGTCTAGAAGAATGGGCAAATAGAATAAACCTTAAAATTCTCTTCTAAGTATTATCTCAGTGAGGCTTTAGCAAGTGTTAAACAGCAGTCTGTTAGCTTCCTTCCAGTCTTAGGATTTCATGACTCTAATTACAAAGTCTCCTTGTCAATGGAAATTCACTCTATAACAGTGACAGTGAGAAAAATGAACCTGAATTACAAAATAGTAACTATACAGATCTCACCTCCTTCCCTGGATAGAGCTCAAACTTACATGTCTTGGAAGGTTCGGGGTTTATAATGTCTCATTACTGAACATACATGCTGATTCAACAAGCTGTTTTCTCTTAATTCTTTTGTAATTGATGCTGCCTAGATATGGAAGAAATACAGTGTTAAAACTTCTGTTTTCTTTCTATAAGCTCTAATTAGAAAAACAGCAGTATGGGTAAAATATGAAATTCTATAAAATATTTTTACTAAAAATTATAAATGCCATATTTTTTTGGCACAATAGTATTCACCTATTCATTTGTTTAGCTATTTTGTATGTATCTGTGATACAGACTTATTAAAAATACCTCCAAAAGGAAACATTGTAACTTTGATATTGAGTTCATTAATGAGCAACTGTACTTTCATACAGCCTAAAACAGACTGGTGCCTGCTAATTTCTGCTCACATACAAAATATCTCAACCTGACATTGAGAAGAGTCACCATTCTTAGGAAATTCTTTAAGACTTTTGGTAGCAAGTAGTTAATTTTAATATAATTCTAGCTCTCTGAACCTAAGAAAGATAATACCTTCTCTACATTTAAATTTCTTTCTTTGCTGACTGAGGATAATATACCTCAAACTCATTCTAAGGACTAAAAGAATAATGAATACAAAGCATTTACCACAGTTCTTTTTCACTTTTTTCTCTCTTTCTGCTCCTCCTTTCCTCCCCCTTTTTCTTTCATCTCTTTCGTCCACATTATCATCGCTTTGTCTATCTTTCCATCTTTATCCCACCAAAATTCACTTCCTTAATAATTATTGATCGAGAGAAAGAAAGAATGAATGAAAATCAACACATCCATTTTTTTTCACACAAAGAGCCTGAGACTGCTAAAATAGACATGCTCTATTCTGAAAATGATACTTCACATAAAGCACACTTCCATTTTCAACTTTGGTCTTAATAAGCCATAGCCAGATCACATATTGATTCAGATATCCACACCAACATAGTACCTTTGTCTGGAAGCATTCAACTGCATTTTCAGCTTTGCAACAGGATGGAATCATTTCATCATAATGCGCAGCCAAAGAAAGAATGGTAGGAGTATACAGGAAGGGGTTATTTCTTGATACGTCATAGATGTATCTGTGAAATGAATAGAGATGGAAGAGTCATAAAAGTATAAAAATGGGACTATTACTTCCTGGAACGGAACTCTGGAATTTGTTTAAATATTCAGATTAACAGCAACAGCAACAAAACACACTGTACTTTTGTCTTTACTAAGATGAAATGGTCAAATTTTTTCCAGATGCTGTCAGAAATTTCCCTCACTAAGATCCTTAGAGAGAAAGAAAAGACCTAACAGACAATGCCAGATTCTATTATAGAAACAAATAGGCAGAAGTGCTGACTATGAATCTTACTAAAATGTCCTTTTCACTACATCTGCTCAGATATATTTGGGGAATCAGCAAGCCAAGACCTCTGCTAAGCAAGGCAGAAATTTGGACTCTTTTTATCTTAGTCAATACAGAATGGTGTTAAACTCTTTGACACTCTCCACTGCAGGGATATAGGCAACTCTCTCTCTCTTTCTCTCTCTCTCTCTCTCTCTCTCTCTCTCTCTCTCTGTCTGCCTCTCTCTCCCTCCTCCCCCTCTTATTTAGGCAGTAACATGGAAGATACATGATGAAGAGGTAAACACCAACCCCACTGAGAACCTAGGTTCAAATGTAGTATCAGCTTGCTCTCAGCTTGTTGTCATAGCCTTCTAAGCTTTAATTCCTTCATCAACAAAATAGGCAAAGGAAGAAGAATAAAGGGTGAGGAGGGGAAAGAGACAGCATTCTTTGTGCTAAGCATATTTGTTCCTACAACTTCTGAGTGCTTAATAAACCTTGGCCACGTTTATGTATCTTAACTGGATCTGGATCTCCATTTTTTCAATTTTCAGTCGATTTAGTAAATATGATACATGAATATTTGGCTCTGGAAGGAGTCCATGCAGTACTAATATATTCTTGGGCAAGACAAAATTGAGAAATTAAGGGGAAAAAAAGAGAGAGATGTCTCCAGAGACCAAAGGAACTACTAATGGATTTGCTGTGCATCTAACAGGCTGAGCTTGAGAAGGTGCATAGGTGTGTTCCTGAGTGCCTTGTGCAGGCCTCAGCAGACACAACCTCATGTGTCACTCCCACAGCTCCATACAATGGAGTACAGCTGCAAACTGGAGAAATATGAAGTTCTGCTTAGTGCTGTTCCCTTTTTCTCGGAAGCGGTTTTCCCTACCTGTTTAAGAACGTCTCTCTGTGTTCTTCATATGCTTTGCAACTCGTAAGAGGTTCTGGAACCTGGGAGGACAGAGTGGGTGCTGCAGCAGCCTTCTTCTGTGCAAGGAAGCAATTATGTCTTTCCTCTCCACCTTGGCTGCAGCAGTCTGAAAGTCCATACTTTTCAGGAATTTCCTTCTCATGGCAAATTTCTTCCAGGAAGACAGATAGCTGTAAGAAAGATTTTAATTTTAATGGAAGGCAACTAACTTTCTTTAAAAATTCTGTAAAACACATTTGAAGTTTCTGATGTCCAAAATCAGAACTATAAATTGAGAAAATTCCCCATACACATTCCAGAATATTTACTTTTAATCTGATAGGATAGCCTTCTTTGCTGCCTTTTGGGAAATAGAATTTTAATTTCCAAATTTGAGTAATACTCATGACTATTAGGCAAAATTATTTTGTTTTCAAAACAGAAAGACTATGAAATATTTTGCCTCCATCCCCCCAAATCGTGAATTATTTTATTTTTCCTTTTTATGTTATCAACAATTTGAGCCCAGGATAGATATTTTGCTTTCCTTTTTTATGTAAACCATGTTTCAGAAATAGAAACTCATGGCCTTCTTATGGCAGGAAGGTGATTGAAAAGTGGATGTTATTTTCAGTTAAAAATAAAAGTGATTTTTTTTTTCTGTGGTATTGAAGTTGACCTTAGGCTCCCATACTTGCTAGGCAGGAGCTCTACCACTTGAGCTACTCCTCTGGCCCTAAAAGAGATTTTGAGATGGAATAAAAATAGAACATTATTTATAATTACAGATTTATTTTTTCTAATAAGTAATTTTTTATTATTGTTGTACTGAGGATTGTAACTACAGATTTAGCTAAAATATATTTGAAGGTACATACTTCTCCTGTGGTGCCTTCATTTTACCAAAATCAGATGGCATGGCCATTAGTCTGAAGAAAAGCCTGTGTTGCCAAGATGCCCCACCACTGACGAATGGATTAAGAAAATGTGGTATCTATACACAATGGAATTTTATGCAGCCATGAAGAAGAACGAAATGTTATCATTCCCTGGTAAATGGATGGAATTGGAGAACATCATTCTGAGTGAGGTTAGCCTGGCCCAAAAGACCAAAAATCGTAAAGCAGATACCTTAAAAGCAACTGAGGCCAATAGGAAAAGGGGACCAGGAACTAGAGAAAAGGTTAGATCAAAAAGAATTAACCTAGAAGGTAACACCCACGCACAGGAAATCAATGTGAGTCAACTCCCTGTATAGCTATCCTTATCTCAACCAGCAAAAACCCTTGTTCCTTCCTATTATTGCTTATACTCTCTCTACAACAAAATTAGAAATAAGGGCAAAATAGTTTCTGCTGGGTATTGAGGGGGGCAAGGAGAGGGAAGGGGAAGAGTGGGTGGTAAGGGAGGGGGTGGGGGCAGGGGGGAGAAATGACCCAAGCCTTGTATGCACATATGAATAATAAAAGAAAAAAATAAAATTCAACCTAAAAAAGAAAAGCCTGTGTTAATATTACAACATCCTTTCATTCATCTCAGGAAGCTTTCTATTTAGCTTTTATAACTTCTGACATTTAGAGAACCCTGGAAATCTTAACTAAGACTTCTAGCTCCCTATTCACATTTTTCAAAAAATAATTACCAATCTATAACATTACCTTGAACCTCTAATTGGAAATAAATAGGAAGCATATTTTGAATAATTTATAGGCAGACTTTTAAAGGGTTATCAGAGAAAGCCAAAAATCGAGATCAAAAAATGAGATTCCTGTTAATTCATGTGTTTCATTATTGGAAAGCACTTTATATGTTAAAAGGTTATCTATACAATGTTCAGACACGTCGCCTTTTGACCAAACACTTCAAACCCACCATGGCAGAGGGATCTCTGGGCACTTAATTCCGTATTTAGGTAGCTCTAACCAATATAAGTTTCATTTCTATATTGATATAAAATAAACATTTGTAACTATTATTTATTGAGTTTCTATACTGGGACAATTTAATATTTAAAAATCATTGTTTACCTAAAATTCAAATTAGGTTGAGTATTGTGTTTTGATGTCATTGTTTGTTTGCCAAGCCTGGCAACCCCAATCATGTGCCACAAACCTCACATTTACTATGGTATAGTGTAATGAGGCTACTAAGGATGTGAATTCTGGAGACAGGTGGCCTAATTTAAGCTCTGGCTCTTTCATTTTGTGATTCCCTTGAGGAAGTTAATTAATGTCTCTGTGTCTCAGATTCCTCAAGTAGAAAATTGTCATATATATCCTAGGATTATTATAAAAATTTAATAAATTAATACTCATAAACAAAGATTATATTCTGCCAATTAGCTTCTGCCAGGGTCTGTCGACTCACTGCACAGACATTCTGATTCATCAATGGTGTCCTATAATAAGATATTTTTATTACCAATGTGTTGGTAGCACTCCCTAAAATAATACCAGCCTTATTGTGTGCTTAATAAAAATTATTTCAATCTCCATGATAACTCTGAATTGAGCCTAATATTATCCCTTACATTATAGATAGGAAAACTGAAGCTCAAAGAAATAAATACTATTCCATAGTTACACAGGTACTCTCATTCAAGAACCTTAATTCTCACTTTTTCATCTGCACTCTTCAGCAATTCAAATTCATCTAATCTGTTACACACAGCTCTTCAAATATTTAGTGCATGCCTTCCCTGCATCTTCTGTGTGCTAAATTTTGATCAAATATCATAGCGCTATTTTTAATTATTTACTCACCTGGTTTTCTAAACACCCTGCAGACTGCTCACCACCAGTGGGTTTCTCAATCACAGTCAATACATCATTTACCATTTTACTCACTTCTTCATAAGTGGCTTCTTGAACAAACTGGGCAAAAAATATGGTAGCTCTAAAACAAACACACATGCAAATACCTAAGAAACAGATTCATATTAAGCTTCTTTTCTCAAGTACAGTTATTTTTTATTTTTCTTTTTCTTTATTTATTTTGCCATCTTCCCCGTAAATAGGCTCACAGCTGCTAAAAAGTGAAAAATAAGTGGGTTTCCTAAAAGAGTGTTTCCTCTTACTGTGGCCACCCATGCATTGTAATGCACCTGCAATTGAGGGTAACTATATTCTTTACAGTTTTCTTTTTTTTAATGTAAACAAAGATTTAGTCATTGCCTGTGTCTACCCCCACCATGATCAAAGTCTGATCAAAGAAGGTGTGTAAACACCAGCAGCACATGCCTTTAAATTCCTTATTAGAAATTTCAGAAATGTGAGAAGGGGAGACAGCATTCAAAAGAATAATATACTCGCCCAAAATAACAAAAACCCAGATTTTTTTTGCCTTCTGTGATTTGCTACTGAACTATAAAAAGTATGCAAATAGAGAACATTGTAACAGCACCTACTGGTATTGATGAAAAACTTCCTGATTTCCTACATAGTTGTATCTGATCAGAAACTGTTTTTCAGTTTTGAAAATCTTTTTTGTCTTGCCTCACAAAATTCCAAGTAATGTAAAGGTTAACAGCTCAGGCATTGGCAAAGTTCAACCTCTTCAATATCAATTTGATATTCAGTATAAATAACCTTTCTTAATCTTGAACTTATAGACAATTTGCTTCTGCAATTTAAAAACACATAGGGCTATCCAATTTATTTAATTATCCAACTAAAATTATATTTACTTTGTATATTTAAAGTACATTTATAGAAACAAAACTTACAGGTTAGCTAAATTCTTCTCTGTAGAACATTGGGAAGAATCCAATTTGGAAGCTGGAAAACAAAAGAAACTGATGGAAAGTGATGCTTTCAAAGGCAACAAGGAAGCAATGATTGCCACATGTAAACATTTGTATTTAAGTTACAACTACACAGTTTTAGAGCTGGGCAGATATTAGGGATGAACTATGCAATCACCTTAATTTCATATTTGAGAAAACTAGAAAGCAAAAGAATGAACTTAACAAGAATAATTTATAGTATACCTAACACTAAAATCTAAAGTTCATGTTTTCCAACTGTTTGGTTTTCTCCTGTACTGTAACATAACTGGCTCATTCCAGTCATCCTTTGAACATGACTGTATCACAGTTTGCTCATTCATATACCAATCACAATACTGCTTCTTCAGTCAAATAATGTCCACTTTTCTGAGTTAAGAGCAAAGATGCTTCCAATCAGAGGGGATTTTATATGTGAAGGAGCCAGGATTATGGCCTGAGATTTATATACATAAATATATGTACCAATTGAATAAATAATGTACAAAAAATTAATTCAGCATGGAATATGCAAATCATTTATTGATTATACTAAACACTGCTATAATTTTATTAACTTCTTATAAAATTACAAGTTTATATTTCATTTAAATAATCTATGGGTTAAATAGTTTTCCTCTGTGTAGAACATTACATATGAGACATAGAACAAGATAAATGAATAAACGTAAGAATTTTGATATACAGAAATGACCCAAAAGAAAAGAAAATTGCAAAGTATCTCACCTATTCCATATGCATTTCTATGCAGTGTTCTGGATTCAGTAAATTTTAGAAGGCAAATCAAAAGGATTGATACCACCCACTTCATGGTTGCTAGTTATTTCGTTGTTGGCAGTTCTGGGAGCAGGATATTGAAAACCCATGCTGAAATTCTTTTATACCCTTCACCAGCAATGCCTGTTATCTAGTAACCTTTTGTTGTCATATGCATTACTTTATTCCATATGTTGAAACAGGGACAATTTGCCAATTATTAACAGCACAGAGGTTATTTGTATTTTACGTTCAAGGACACAGACTTCTTCAGAGTGGAAAAAGGGTAAAAATTAAAAAACCTTGCAAATTCATTCAATTTTGCAAACATGATGATTATTCACGTGTTCAAATAAAATTTTTCCTCAAGTTGTAAAATAATTAATTCCTTTCAAATTTAAAATTTAGAGAAAGTTAAAGATATCAGACTAAATATAAAACTCAACTAATTACATTGACTTTTAAAATATTGACTCATTTTTTTTGCAAGTAAAGCCAGAGAGTTTGAGACATAAAACTGTAAAATGTAGAGCCCCCAGAGTTGGAGTTCACCCAAGAAAGGGTGGCCCTTAACTCAATATTTAAAATACTGACTAAGCACATTATTTGATAAATTCAGACTCTTCATTAAAGAATACGATGCTTAATTATTATGTTGTTATTGTTAGTTCAAAATACTTTTCACCTTATTTGCATGCCAGTAGGTACACTTCAAAGTATTTCATATACTATATAAAGCTTAACATAGAAATATTACAAACCCTGATGAAAAAAATTTTCTGTACTGATTGTCTTTTTTGCAGAGTAATTCACATGCGTCATGAGTAAGTGGCTCAGCTGCATTATCCACTCAGCAACATGAGGTGATGACATTATTCCTATTTAATGGGCACTGATATACTCCTGATTCTAGGAGTGGATCATCCTGTTATGATCCTCTCTGTGAGAGATATCAATCTTGGCTAAACATTAGGATGACTGGGGAAAATTATTAAATTCCCATTGCCTAATCTGTAACCTATATCAATTAAATCAGGATTTGTGTAGTTGGGACCCAGGCATCCATATTTTCTAAAACCTTCACAGGTGATTCATTATTCTAAAGGCAAAGGCATAAAATCAAATGGTCTATACTAGGAAATAAATATGCTTCATTCAAAAAATGGAGTGAGGCAATGTATCCCCTACCCAGCACAACAACAAAAAAAAAAATGGATTGAGGTCTGGGGCATCACTCAAGTAGTAAAGCACCTGCCTGGCAAGCATAAGGCCTTGAGTTTAAACCCCACTTCCTCAAAAAAAAGAAAATGGAGTGATATGTAACCATGGAAACAATTTTGTGGAATAATATTTATTAAGATGGAAAGATGCTTGTAATATATTACTAAATGGAACACTGGAAAAAATAAAACAATGTATATAGGATGATCTCATATTTGTACCTCCCCTAATTGATTGAAACAGGAGTTTTCTCTGAATAGTAGGATTACAAATTAATCTGTCTGTCTGTATCTCTCTGTGTCTCTCTGTGTGTGTGTGTTTGGTTTTATCTCTCTCATTATTCAATGGAAGAGTGATATGAAAATATGCATAATACTAAAAGTGATTAACACACACATTTGCACAAAAGGTCACTATCAATAGCGCTTCTAATAAATACATTTACATAGCATGAACAAGGTCTTCAATACTGGATAAATAAAATTCTCAGCCATGCGTTGATCTTTGTTGATTTTTCTGCTAGTAGTAATCAGCCTACATTTCATGTCCTAAGGACATGGGTACAGGAAGAGGCCCTGCTCATGTATGCTCCAGTAGGAAGGAACGGTGACCTTAAAGACCCATTTGGACTCCGGAACAGCATATAAGAGTTACAGCTCTTCCACGATCCCTGAAGGGGAAATTTTACTCAAATATACTAAAACAACATCATTGGTTATAAAGAAATTCTGAAAAGCATTAGTCATGAAGCACTAGTTATAAAAAATTGATATATGATGTTATGAAGCAAACTGCAGAAAACTTGGCTAAGCATGGATAAAGTATCTCAAAGCCTTTCACAGAGGCTAGTCCATTATCAGGACTCAGTAACATTTGCTGAACAGATAATGAATGTATTTATTCAAAGATAAGCATTTAAGGTAGAGGAAGAGGTCCCTTTGACAGATCCCAGATCTATATAGCCTAAAATCTTTGGTTTTTCTTATTTGTTTATTTGTTATTTGGGGGGTAGAGTTGTTGTTTGATCTTCTCTGACTCTCTCTCTCTCTCTCTTTGTTTTTTTGAGTCAGGATATCAGACCTAGGCTGGTCTGGAACTCATTCTGTAGAACCCAGGCTGGTATTAAACTCATAATCCACCTGCCCCAGCCTCCTGAGTTCAGGCATGTGTCACCACAACCAGCTACTCTGAGATATTTGTAACTTTGCACATTCTATTTCAAGTTTTATTTATGCAAATAAATGTACAATCTGCAAGGTTAGATAATACAATTTCCTCATCTTACCAAAGTTAGGAAGGACATATGAGATAAAGCCTAGCAAATAGAAGGCCTTTATTAAATTACGACTAAGTATTATCAATACACATATAAATAGACACATGACTGCAAATAGCTGTACACATCGAGCTAGAGGTATGTGGTGTCAGCCCCCAAACCATTGGGTTGCTGATGAAACTACACCAAAATGAACAATTTATGGTCATCCCAGTTACTTTTTGCATCTTTACTCTGTTATGGTGATGGTTTGTGTCATCCTTTAATCTTCTTCTTTATTCTCCCTTACCAAGCAGATTTCTGCTGTTCCAAGACAGGCAATCAGAGAGGCAGGACAGTGTCACCAGTTAAACATGTGGATTTGGGGACTAGGTTAGAATTTTTGCCCTGCCACTTATTTGTTACACAACATTGTGTAAGTCATTTAATATTAACTGCAAACACTTCTAAAGCCACATGTGTCATTGCTCAAGGTTTAGTCTTAAATACAGAGTTCACATCATACACTTTTCCATTGCTCTGATCCTGTTTGCTTTTGCATAAATCCACAGTATTACTCAGAAGCAGTATGGCATGGCAAACTGGACTTTGCTGTAGGAAAGATTCTAATCTTGGCTCTACCAATTGTTTTCCATGAGACATTAGGCAAGCAATTTAATTTGGGCTTTAACTTATCATCTATAAAATAATGATAATAATCACACCTCCTTCAAGATTAAGTGAAGATCAAATAAATTAGCTAGTATAATGGCTCAGAACAGGACTTGGCACAGAGTATAGAAGTAATAGATGAGGGTTTTATTAATTAATTAAAAAATGTTAGGTCTGCATACCAGACACTATTCATTGATGGGAATCTTCAGCAGCAGCAAGAAACTGGCAGCACCTCTGCTCTGGATGAGCCAACATGTAATAGGAGAGACAGACAATTGCAACAGCTATCGCCACTCAGTCTGATGGATGCTGTGTTAAGTGAAATGAAAAGAGCACCTGGCATCTTTGGAGGGGTCATGTAATATATCCTGGAGGAAGTAACACTTTTGGGGAGACCTGAAAAAAATGGAGGTGGGCCAAATAAAGAGGGAGGAAATCATACTCCAGGTGTCTTGATGGCAGTGGAAAGGCCCATTGGTAAGGGAGAGCAAGACACATACTTAAGGAATAAGAAGAAATGAAGTTTCAGTGAAGTACAAAGTCTAAAAATGATGGAACTCAGTCTACAGAAGGAATTTCTGGAAAGGTTGACAGAGACCAAATCTCAATAACCTTTTAAATCAAATTTAAACCTCATCCTAGGACAATGGGAGACCACGAAATGAAGCTAATAAAAATCATATTTGTATTTTGAAACTGCCTCTGTTGTTATAAAAAGGGACAATGCTGTGACAAGGAGATCATTTAAGAAGCTGTTTTACAAAAATGTGATCCAGTAAGTAGACTTCATGACAGGAATGTTAATGGGAAATGAAAGGTGTGGATAAAATTAAACATAAATGAGATAAAATCAGAAATACCTGTTAATTGAGAAAATATTCAATATACTCAAAGGGTGTATTGAGTTTGAGATAGAGTGGCCAGTTTTTCCCAGTCTTGGTTATCTGATGATTTAGTGTAAGCCAGACTCCCTTTTCACTCTCAGGAACAGTCTAGTTACAATACCCTGGTTTGCATGTTGAGGTGTATGGGCTATCCACGTAGAGGTGTCTATGGCATTTTAATTCTGCTTCTTGTATGTCCCAAGAACAAGGTTGAGGAGATAGAGATTTGATTATCATCAGCTTACAGAGCGTGGTAGCCCATGTGAGAGGATGAAAGATTGTAGTGAGAAATGGAGTCCTAAGAAATGCCAAATGTACCAAGACAAGAGGAGATAAAGAGGAGCTCTGAACCAGAGTTTGCTTACAAACTGCAAACAATCCTAAATCCATGTGTGTCATTGCTCAAAGTTTAGTCTTAAGTACAGAGTCCACATCGAATACATTTCCACTGCCCTACTTCTGATTCTGTTTGGTTTTTAATAAACTCATGAAACTGCTCAGAGGCAATGGCAAACTGTACTTTGCTATAAGAAAGTTTCTAATCTTTGCTCTAACAATTATTAGCCATATGATTAATATGATTCTTAGTTTTCTCACTTCATGAAAATAATATTTCCCATCAAGTTTATTTGACATATTGATGAAATAATGCATTTTAAATACCTGATACCTACAAACATTTTTAAAAGATGAATAATTATTATCATTGTTAAGGTTGGTATTAGTGTAAAATATTAGATGTATCCTCTCTCAAAGCAGTTAATCTGTACATGTAGGTTGCTAGAAAATGATTTCTCCTTCACTCTTTCAGGTACTTTTCTGTTTGGATGCTTGATAGCTTGAGACTATATTTTTATAATTTGAATTCCATTTTCCCATCAATGTTTATAAAAATTGTACCCACCCTAAAGGTCTCTATTCTCCATGGGTATGTTTTGGATTATTCTGTAACTAGGGAAGAGCCCTCTTTGATGACTCGTAACTTTTTAGATTGTTTTCTCATTGAACTTTTTGACCATA